AGTGTATCATTAAAATTAAGTTTCAGAAGTCCTGCAGAAAAAAACAAACAAACAGGAACAAACAAACAAACACTCTTCGGTAACTATCTAAATGCGATCAACAGACCAGACTTTTGATGCTTTTCTCATAAATAATTCAGTAGACTAATAAATAAGCAAATATATACGTTCTAGACGACTGAAACTATCATTTCTTTACTGTCGAACCACAACCATGAGTTTATAACATGATCCGAGAGGAACTGGCACCAGTAAAACAAATGGCGCCTGAAAGCCACGGAGAAAAAAAGGATGATCTGGCCTTTTTTACCCTCCAAATAGGTTAAACTTTCAGTTTTGCTGATTTAATTTAATTTTTTGATTGCTCCGAGTTGATGCGAGTCAAATTTTATTTTATTTTTATTTTTTTATTCGATCCGAGTTGATCCGAGTTGATCCGACCCGGACTGGCGGTCCGAGTTGATCCGGTCCGACTTTTGTACCTGCCTAATCAGAATTACTTCCGTTGCTTGTTTTTCTAGTATGCAAATTTCTCACGCGTGGGAAAAATGCAGACTGGCTGACTTAAAAAATAGCTTTTATCTGTTAATTTTTTCAGCTAAAAATAAAACAGTCAGCACAATCACATTAATTTAACTTCTTGCGAGATTAAGGGAGATCTCGAAGGTTACTTCTGTCGGCGTAGAAGGTAAAAAGTTTTCGAAAAGACAGCGACACCTTCCGCGACACCTTCAGCGACGACCTTCTTTCGCCCTCTTCCTTTTGAATGACCTTATGGAATACACCGGGATGTGAAGAAGATCTCAGGAATTTTTCTTTTTATCGACTTTGAAAAAGCATTAGATTCCATAGGGTGGAACTTTATAAAAAGAAGCTTAGAATTGTTTAATTTGGGGCCATTCTTAACAAGATGGTTCTCAATTCTTTACAATAATTCCGAGGCAGCAGTGATGAACGCTGGTTACATGACTGATTACTTCACTGTATCCAGAGGAGTTCGTCAAGGGTGCCCGCTGAGTCCATTCCTCTTCATATTGTCCGTTGAGTTACTTGCCTTGAAAATTCGACAAGAACCAAATTGTAAAGGCATACGTCTTCCCAATCTGCGAGAAGCTAAAATCTCACAATTTGCCGATGACACTACTCTGATATCTGAAGACACCAATTCTCTAAAATTCTCGTTACAGATCATCGGAAGTTTCGGCAGCATATCTGGTTTACGTCTAAATAAGAAAAAAACCAAAGCAATGTGGATTGGCTCCTCAAAACATAAAAAAAAACAAAATATTGGAATTTCACAGCATAAAAGACCCCATTAAAATACTCGGGGCGCATTTGTCGTACAACGCAGACAAGAACAACGATGCCAACTTCTTCAGCAAGATTCGTAAAATGAAAACTAAACTGAATCTCTGGCAAACGCGTGACCTTACGCTTTTTGGCAAATCAGTTCTAGCCAAAACACTTGGTGAATCTACACTGCTTCACTAAGGACTGTCCCTGATGCAGTAACACGCGCCGCTCAAAGTCTCCTGTTCTCGTTTTTGTGGAAAAATAAGAAAGATAAAATTAAGCGAAATGTTGTATGGCAGCCACTTGAAAATGGTGGCCTTAACTTTATAAATTTTGAAATTATGGTTAAATCTTTGCGACTATAGCCTGGATAGCTAGAATGATTAGCAACTCTGATGATAATTGGAAGGCAATACCGAATTTCTATTTCGACAAATATGATGCCTTGCCCTTCCTTCTTAAGTGAAACTACAATACTGCAACTCTTGAAAACAATCTACCTTTATTCTACCGTGAGTTATTAGATTATTTCCAAGAACTAACGAAATTCTCAGAATACGATAAAAACAATGACCTCATTCTTTGGAATAACAGGAGAATTACAATAGAAAGGAATAGTGTCTTCTGGAAACAATGGTTTGATCAGGGTGTTACTTTCATTAGCGATTTAATGAACTCAAATGGTAAATTTCTAACCTTCGAAGAATTTCAAAATAAATTTGAAATTAAAGCTAACTATTTGCACTATTTTCAATTAATTGCTGCCATTCCTCCGGATTTGAAACGAAAGGCATTTGGTTCCACGGTTCCTGATCTGCTTGGAGCAACTTCAGAGTACTGTCAACTTGAAGATAGAACAATAGTCTTAACCAAATTCCGTTGTAAAAATTATTACAGACTGTTCATCGAGAAGATTGTTTCAGAACCCTCCGCAGTAAGGACTTGGAAAAAAAGCTTTTCAGACATTCCGAATTGGAGTGATTGTTTTGTGAATATATACAAGTCCTCGAAAGATATTAAGCTTAGACAATTCACGCACAGAATAATCACGACAAAGAAAGAACTACTGAACTATAAATTAGCCTCGGATGATAAATGTCCTTTCTCCCTTAATCCAGATTCAATTGAACACACCTTTTTATATTGCCAAAAGTCAATGGAATTCTTTTCCAAAACTTTAAGGTGGTTTAATGAATATCACAAAGAGAACGTACAACTTTCAAACAAGCAAATTTTATTTAACACGTTCGATGACTCCCTTCCAATGCAAATGACAATTTCAACTCAACGCAAACTTCGTCTATTGGTTTTACTACAAAAGAAATACTTGTATACTTGCAAGAACATTGTAACGAAACCTAATTTAGAGGAATTTTTACGTAAGCTTTTGGAACAATATCGCATTGAAAATTGTGGCAAACAATATTAAATATGTGTGGCAACTGACAGTTTTTTTTTTTTTTTTTTTTTTTCCAATACTTTTCATTTTTATTGTAATTTGTTTTGTTACTTAGTGACATATTTATTTACTTATTTGTTCTTTTACTTTCTGCTGTGTATTAATGTTGTTGATTTGTTGTCAATAAAGAAAAAACAACAAAAAAATCAGGCCCAATTTCAGCGGTAGCCGTTAGAGAGAATGTATGAGAACCGCTCAAATTGGGCCTGAACTCAGGTTAGGTTTCCAATCAAAGATTTGTGAACTCGTGTCTGGCAAACCGTCACTTTAAAAGTGTTAAAATATACATTGTTATACGCACCTTATAACTTCATCTGCGCTTAACGAGTGTCTTTTGGTCCAAAACTTTCATGACAACAGCTCCACAGAATGTCACTGATAACAAGTAACGCAAAAGAGTATCGAAGTATGACTGCACAATTAATGTCACAAAATCTACTCATTGTAAACGGTCCCTGCGGGATTTTTTGTGTTTTACGTCATCCTAACCATTTCGTACTTGCGGGCGCAAACAATAGAAACGTCATCATTACCTACCGATTCCTCGCGGCCCCTGTTCAAGCAAATCGAGATTTTTTCTATATTGACTGTATGACTGTATATTTCAACTGTAAGTACTTTCCTTAAATTACGCGCGAGTTACTAGGGTGCCTCCTCGGGATTTCGCCTTCTGGGCGAAATCCCTGCGGGGGCAATAACGTTTATCAGTTTTGCTATTGAAAGCATTCCATGTTTTTCCCCTTCATTTCTCAAGTCTTGTTTTACTCTCCTCCACACAAACGTTTCTGCTAGCCAGAGTCCAAACATTACTGTTATCCTTATACCTTCAGAATATTGGAACGTAGATCGGAAGAAATAAGACCAAAGATTTGGGACGAGTTGTTTATTACAAGGTTCGTACTGGATCATGGAAAGTCTTGGAATAGGCCTTATCACGGTTTTCGACGCCATCTTGACGGGTAGGCAAGTAGGCGTAAAATTACAGTGTTTGTATGAGAATCCGATGTCGAATAATTTTCGTAAAACGTCCGTTTGGAAAAAATATCAATTGTAAACTAAAGTTATTAGACAAAGGATTCTTCTCACAAAATTCGAGGGCCTCGCCTGCCCTAGAATCGCTTCTTTTAATGACCTTTAATTTCCAATACATTTGTCTGTAAAAATGTTTTCCCGCCGACTAAATTTCCCGGGAAAAGTTATAGACAAATGTATAGAAATCTAAAAAGCTATCGAGAACGTTTTAGCGCGGATACAGCCCTCAAAATTTGTCAGTACAATCCTCTACCTTGTAGCTTTAGTTTACAATTGATATTTTTTCCAAACGGACGTTTTACGAAGATTATTCGACATCGGATTCCCATACAAACACTGTAATTTTACGCCTGCTTGCCTACCCGTCAAGATGGCGTCGAAAACCGTGATAAGGCCTATTGAAGCATTACATTTTCCAGGCCTGGGAAGTCATGGAATTTAATTGTTGGTCCTGGAAAGTCATGGAAAATTAAAGTTTTGTTTGATAGATAAGTTAATGCAGATGACAAGGCAAGGACAATGTAAGATAAAGAGGAGTAATTAACCAGCGCAAATGACACACATTTTGGTGAACACCAGAGTTTGTGAAAATGAAGAAATGATCGTCGCAGTGAACGCAGTTTATGCAATTGCGTAAAGAAGCCTGAAAAAAAAAATCAGGACTTCAACGGGGTTTGAACCCGTGACCTCGCGATTATCGGTGCGATGCTCTACCAACTGAGCTATGAAGCCAATGCCATTGGGAGCAGGTCAATCACCAGAGTTTGTGTCTGTTGAACTGTTTAAGGTCAAAAAAATACTCTAAAACAAGGACAGTTTTTAAAATTTTTGGAAGTGACAACTAAACCTAAGGTCTTGGAAAACTTATGTCGTAGAAAGTCATGGAATTTGAAGAGCTCAAAAGAGTGCAAACCTTGTATTACGATCAACTTGATTGCGTTTTGCCGATGTCTCCATAGTCATTGACTGGCTTGAAACAATTAGGAAAAAAATATTCAGCGCACTTGGGCTAATAGTCACTTTGAAGGAAAAGTAAGGCAAGTAACGACAATAGAGCTACTCTGTGAGTGGTTGCATTGGGAAGATTGAACTAACTTCCCGTATAATAGGAGTAGAAACCTATTATACGGGAAGAAACCGCGAAAACGGGGTAATAGGTGAAAGAGACGCAATATCTTCGTCCTCCCTATCAAAAAATTCATCCTCTGAGTCACTTTCAAACTCGTACTTCCCCAACTGCCATTGCAACTAGAGAATCGTCTACAAATGTGACTTCTGTCACGATATCCTCAACTTCATTTGTATCCTTAATAAGGGATTCTTCAGTTTCTCCGCTGGACCCTGTTGCCGCCATCAAGTCTAATTTATTCAATTCTTGTTGCTTTCTGTAGACTTTAAGTGGTAAAGCACCTGCTTTGTCCTTTTTAGTTTGTCCTCGGACTGTCCTTTTTCTTACTAAGCTATATTTATCTGCAAATTCTTTCACTGTAGTTTCAGTCGCTCGTTCGTTTCAGATCACTGGATACTTGGCCACTTTCTTTGCACCTTTTTGAGAAGGATCTGTCCTCACTAGCCTGATCGTGGCTTTTTCTCTTCTTTTTTATCCTAGCTTCGTTATTTTTATCCGCAGGCAGATTTGATGTGAGCTTCTTTGACCTGTTTTGCTGAGGATCAGCAATAACTACAACTTAATTCTCCGCTACTAGACTACGAGTAGTCCCCCATTTTTCCTCAGGGATAGTGGAGCGAACGAAACGCGAGCGCGCGTGAAAATCACCCCACGAGAGAAAAGGCGACACGAAGCGGGGAGAGAGAAAAATGAGGGACTGCAGACAAAGCCCTATCCTCGGAGACCCAGGGGCGGTCAGTGGGGCCGGGAGAAAAGGCGCGACAAAAGTTTTCAAGCACAGTTTGTCGCGCCTTTTCTTCCGGCCCGACTGACTGCCCCTGGGTCTCCGAGGATGACAAAGCCCAAGCTTTTGACCCTTCACGGCCGACCCATTGAGCAAATGTGATTTTTGCCGCTTATTTCATACTGAGAGGTCGTGACACGCATATTAACTTTCTGCGGTTATTGTTTATGGTCGGCATGATTTGCACTCTGATGCAAGAGCATTTTCTTTGACCTCTCTTCAAAAGTAAAGCTCTTCAATGCGGCTAAATAAGGTTTTTTATAGCGGCTGGCGCGTTTTTGACAGATTTTGACAGATTTCCATGGAAGAGCCAATCAGGCTTTTTCGTTGTGAGAACAACGCATAAGTTCAAAAGCTTGGGCTTTGTCTGTAGTCCCTCATTTTTCTCTCTCCCCACCACGTATCGCCTTTCTCGCGTCGGGTGATTTTCTCTCGCTCTACTATCCCTGAGGAAATATGGGGGACTACTCGTAGTCTACTCCGCTACAAGCCCATTTAATTTTCTTTTGTGCAACGTGAAACATCTCGAAGTTCGTCAAAAATACTCCGCTGCGCGTAGTATTCTCAACTCTCTTCTCGGTGTTTCATCTGGTGATGAAGACTGCGTCTCTTGCTTGATATATTACATCAAATTAACGCCTCAGAGTGTGAAGAAAACTTTGATTTGCATGTGGTTTCGTAGTCCTTTTAGACGCAAAGCACGTTTCATTCATACCTTCCTCTCTTTTCTCCCAAGACCAGCAAGCTAAAGTCGGCGGTTTAACTCCGATTAGAAGTATTTTTGCCTGGCACTTCACTACTGCTGAATGCACAGAGAAAAAAATGAAGGAGGATTTGATCTTCAGACCTTCATTTAGGTGATGTTGCACGGGACGAAACGCAACGACGATTTTTAGCGCCACACAGCGTTGTAATGTAGGAACAACCGTGCAACCATTCGAGACAATATCGCAACAATATTGCAACACTGTGTTGCGTTAAAAATCGTCGTTGCGCATCCTCTCGAATGTAATCTTTATTCGCAAATCGGCAAATAGGGCGGCAAAACACATTTAAATCTCTCCTCTTCTTTGACATTTATCACTGAAACGCTCTGGATCGAGACCTTGACAAAGACCTCCACAAGCAAATAAAGACATAATGAACATAAAAAAGCAATTACTATACACTCACCTTGTTTTTAATCTGCTTCCACCCTCGAAATTTACTCGAAATCAAGAGAGAATCCATTTATTAGATAGTTCACAGTCCCCTATTTTTCCAAGAGATCGTCATGGTATAACGCCTCTTACCGTTAATGGCCGCCACCTTGATTTCGAATGTACCGACGGGGCGGGCGTCAGGGATTATACCTGCAGCTCTAGGGGGAGGAGGGCGAGAAAACATTTTTCTCGCTTCCTCCAAAACCGCCCCCCGCCCCCTACGTAGTTTTGACCGTCATCAAAGATGGCAACCCGTAACGCATAGCGCTCGATCTCGACGATATTACGGGAAAATAGGGGACAGTGAACAGTTTATCCCGTTATCCTGTCTTGAAAAATAATAATTTCCTACAGTTCTTCAGTGAATAAGTTTTTTTGAGACTAGAATAAGGATCTACTTAAGTTTTCATTGATTCCCTTCCACAATAGGAAATAATAGGGTTGGAGAAATGATAGTAGGTGAAAGATGAAGAATCATTCTTAATGAAGCAGAAGTACGTTTCCATGTTATTTGTTCAGCGCCTTTGGTGCTCTGAACTGTCCGCGATTTCATTGCCACTTTTTGTTCGCGTGAGAGTGAGGTAGCTAACACATAGAGCTGAGGTTATTTATAGTTTTCATCAGTATAGACCATATACCATGCATAAAGACCGGAATGCCATAAAATTCCGCCGAAAATCAGCAGAAGTCGCACAAAAGCTCAAATAGTTCGGGTAACGGGCTTTAAATCAGACATTTTTTCTTTGGCCTGAGAACAGTGGATATTTTTTGTCCGTATGAACTGGCGTACGAACGATAAGCAGCTTCTTCTCGCAGGGTCAGTGTTTGGATAATATTCCTCGCGGGAAAAAAATGAAATCGGTAATTGATCTGCTCTGTTCCCAGGTCTGACCGAATTTATCGACCTTGAAAACACTACAATTATTTGTTGAGTTAAGTTGCTAAAAGTATGAGCCGAAGCAAAAGCAAGTATTCTTTCTTTGTTTNNNNCCCTACGTAGTTTTGACCGTCATCAAAGATGGCAACCCGTAACGCATAGCGCTCGATCTCGACGATATTACGGGAAAATAGGGGACAGTGAACAGTTTATCCCGTTATCCTGTCTTGAAAAATAATAATTTCCTACAGTTCTTCAGTGAATAAGTTTTTTTGAGACTAGAATAAGGATCTACTTAAGTTTTCATTGATTCCCTTCCACAATAGGAAATAATAGGGTTGGAGAAATGATAGTAGGTGAAAGATGAAGAATCATTCTTAATGAAGCAGAAGTACGTTTCCATGTTATTTGTTCAGCGCCTTTGGTGCTCTGAACTGTCCGCGATTTCATTGCCACTTTTTGTTCGCGTGAGAGTGAGGTAGCTAACACATAGAGCTGAGGTTATTTATAGTTTTCATCAGTATAGACCATATACCATGCATAAAGACCGGAATGCCATAAAATTCCGCCGAAAATCAGCAGAAGTCGCACAAAAGCTCAAATAGTTCGGGTAACGGGCTTTAAATCAGACATTTTTTCTTTGGCCTGAGAACAGTGGATATTTTTTGTCCGTATGAACTGGCGTACGAACGATAAGCAGCTTCTTCTCGCAGGGTCAGTGTTTGGATAATATTCCTCGCGGGAAAAAAATGAAATCGGTAATTGATCTGCTCTGTTCCCAGGTCTGACCGAATTTATCGACCTTGAAAACACTACAATTATTTGTTGAGTTAAGTTGCTAAAAGTATGAGCCGAAGCAAAAGCAAGTATTCTTTCTTTGTTTGTTTTTTTTCTTGTACCAGTTTTCGTTCAACAAGGACTTGCGTAATGATCAGTTATCTGTGTCATGTAGCCATTATAATTTATCTCGCGTGTTTGTGAATGAAAAGGTTCTTCCTGATAGATGCTTTGAATGGAAGATCAAGTTTAGCGCGGCATATTCTAGCTAACAACCTGCACAATCCGGCCTGTACTCCAGTAACTGAATTGATGCGATTGAATTAATGATCTAGACTGATGAACAAGGAATTAGAATGCTTGTAACGGAAAACCGGATGCTCCCCTTTCCCTGAAATATCAGCAGTTTTCTGGTTGGTCTCCTGAACGATATTTCAGGATATCCCTTTTCCCCTAACCCCAAGGAGGCCCTTCAATATCAAGTTGAACATTTTAGAGCTGGGACATTTACATCTTTTAATTTGTCTAGTTGACGCTTATTAGCGTGGTCTATGATGACCTCGTTTGGCACTAACATTAAATCAATAATTACCTGTTGACGGGTAAAATATCCAGGGAGGATAACTTTGACAGAGGCGCCTGTCGCCATCGGGGTTAAGGTTTCGTTGCCCCGCCCCCATAAAAAGGGTTAATTTGGCTCCTCTTATACTACTGCGTCCCATTTAATTAATTGGGCAATGGCAACCACCAATGCAATGGGTAATGTTATAAGAGCTGTACCTCAAAATTTAGTCAAATTCAGGCAGTGGAAACTGGCCAATAAATTGAGCCAAAATCAAAAACAAGCTCTTAATTAAAAGCAACAATAAAGGAAGGCTTATTAATATTAGAGCAGATATACAAAAGAAGACGTACAGGTGGACAAAATCCAAGAAGATTAAAGCGGATCGATAACAATCAAGTCACGGGAAAACCTCACAGTTTTTCAAAGTTCGTCTCTGTTGATTTTAACGTCGTAAAATATAACTTTCGAGAGACATTACCCGGGGGGTGGTTGCCACGAGGCTGTGATTTTGCATTCACAAGTACTTCGCTAAAGTAGTAACGTTAAGATCTGATTTACACGTACGACACAAGAAAATTCGCGCTTGTGAAGGATCTTATCACAAACGAAGAAAAAACTTGAAAAAGGGATAATTCATTTCTTGCCTTGGTGATATAGCCGTCTTTTGTGTTTGGGTGTCAGCCTTTTAAATTCTCTTCGGTTGCGTAGCATTAGAAGAGAATTGATTTCTGTTCGCTATTATTTTAGCCGCTGATTAATTGTGAGATGTTTTGCATGATTACGACTCCAGTATTTCTGAATGCAATTTTTCCTGGCCTCCGAGTGTCTCTTGTAGATACGTATCCGAAACTCCGCTCATTTTCCCTGATATATTCTGTGATGCATTCTTCACAATTCTGTTTTTAGGCTCGGTTGGTCTTCAGTAAAGGGTAGCGGCCTACTACCGCACAGCAAATAAGAAATGTTGTTAGTTGTTATTTGAGTGTTGCTGGGAAGACTGTTGTTTAGAACAGAATTTGATTTTCACACGTGTTAATCGGGACGATGCAAATGGAAGCGAGAACGCAAGGTAAAAGATATGCGCCGCAAATGCGTTTTATTTGCGTCGCTCGTGGAGACCTGTCCTAAGTTCCATGTCGAACAAGGACGAGTTATTAGAACTAAATAGAAAAGACAAAAAGCTATAGGGTATAACAAATGTATTTTTTGCTTATAATCTTCAAAAATTAAGGTACAAAGTTTTAAACTCATTTTTTGTTTGCTTGTCTTTATTTTAGACATAGTGAGTTTTAAATTTGTACTGATTTAACGTTTAAGAAGAAAAGCAGACAATTCGTCGTTTTCTAATTCAGCACTCTTTTTGTCCAGGCCCCGCAGCGCTAAATTCCTTTTCCTATAGCAGGCGTGGTTGCACTGAGAGAAGGGAATTCCGCAGTCCCTGAAAATACAGTCATTGCTCCAACAATCAGCAGTGCAGATGTCGTAGGTCTCCCAGCACCTGTCAACGCATGGTAGACCACATTCCACACTTTGCAAAAGCAGAACAGTCACAACCGCTGCAATTATCATGACAGGTCTTATCTCGCAAGTCATCTACAAAGGAGTTAACAACACAACAAGAAGTGCATGAGCCGGCCGGCAAAAGGTAGCATTTTTTCCTTACCATTTTAATTAATTTTCGACATCCTAAAAATAAATCAATAAGAGTTGCGGATGGATTGTAGTAAAATTGGGACGAAGTTGTTGGGTATTCCGGGCAAGTTACAATTCATAGAATTGATTATTTCAAAAATAGGATCGATGATGTATACAAAAATCCTGGAACAATTCAAGGGCATTGTTCTAGTTAAGGCACTATAAACCTAAGAAAATAGTCGACATTTCGCGACGGTGCCACTGGTTTCCCAGCGAAATGACGTCTGAGGAACGAGCGCAGAAATTCCATACTGATGACGTGTCACTCATAGATCAATGGTCATGCCCCTAGGAAAATTTACTTCAACCAATCAGTATTAGTGGGTAGTGATACGCCATCAGCATAGAATTTCTGCGCTCGTTCCTCAGATGTCATTTCGCTGGGAAACCAGTCGTGGCGTCGTGAAATATCGGCTGTTTTCTCGGGTTATTATACATCAAGAAATTACTCGCAAACGTCTGAGAATTACCCAGGTCCGCAATCATGAAAAAACAAACAAAAAAGATTGAGTATAAACGAAAACAGTGCGTTATTAACAGTCTGAATTCTTTACTTTCCAAGATTTGTAAAACAGCCTGTCAAAGCAGACGTATTTAGTGACAACCAGAAATATGTCTGGGTCGGCAGGCTAAGTTAAGTAAAACGCGCTCGAAACCTTAGCTCTCGATAGTCTAAGCAACGTTATATAGATATTTCATAGAATTTAAAATGGCTACGTCTCATTTCCAAAAAAACTGACTGGACTTTCCGGATAACATTAAAACGGACAAACTTACATTTCTCTTGCTTTCAGTTTTCCCAGTAAATCGAAGTGAAGATTTGATCTCGAGTGAAATTCCAATCAGGCTTGAGGGAATGATGCTAACTCGCCGTTGGCTTCTTGGCTTCTGTTTAAATTGTATGACTCGAGGCTGTTTTCACAGCTTTTAAACATTTTTACCCTGAACCTGCTAAATAAAATATGATTTTATTATGCTAATGTAAAATTATGGTTAAAGTTAATTTAACTCCAAAAAAGCAAGTCTTAATTGTCAGGGAAGCCTTCTGTTGTTAAGCTTAAAGAAAAATTGGTGCGCTCCACGTACAGTAGTCGGTGTAGTCGCTACTATAACCAGAACATCTGTTTAAAACTGCAATTACGCTTAAAATAACCCTATATTATGTTTATCCCAACACCTATGAGTTTCTTTTAAATTTTCAGTACTGTGAAGATCGAAAAACAAAAGACGTTAGAACGAGTGGTATTTAAAGTTCTTACACCTGACAAGTGGTTGGGCGATTCAGATTTGTTAAAAAAGAACAAATTTTGATAAACAGCTAGAAAGATGAATAATATCGTAGCGAAATGAACCAACCACCACACAATGACGGGAGCGCCAGCTGGTTAATTCTTCGATATTGAAAACTACTTAAAAAATGGTCATTTTTGACAGTTAGTGAGCCGGACATGAATTGCTTTCTCTCTAATAAACTTTTCTTCACATCCTAACCCTTGCTTCTAGATGAGCACAAACACCGTGCAAGATTCCGAGAAAGCAGGTTAAGGTGGATTTCCACTGCCTTATCGCGTAATTTTTACGTACGTTTTCGCGTAAAATTTACGTGGGTAAATGAAATGGAGGCAATGAATGAAAGTTGCGCTTAAACATAAAAGTTGAACCTCGCTCAACTTTACGTTTACCCGCGACTCTTCATACATTGCCTTTATTTTATTTACAGCGTAAAATTTACGCCCGTACGCACGTAAAACTTGTGCAACAGTTGAAAGCCACCTTTAATCTTTTAGTGATACACGCGTGTGGAAACATCGACAACTTTCTCATCATCGATCGTGATAATGATTAGAGAAAACATTTAGTCGCGATAAACACCCTCACAACCAATATTGAAGAGAAAGTTATGAGCCAAACTTTAATGCAGACATCGATTAGCCTGTACATAGACGTTGTTTTCTTTTTCTTTTCGTTCATTTCGAAAACATCGGCGAGAGAAGCGAGCATGCGAGAACGAGCGGTTAACAAAACCCTGCGGTTTATATTTTACCACGCGCGCTCGACGGACTTTGAAGAGAAAATGGAGGGTCTGTGAACAGGCTAGACATCGATTCGCGGGAAATATTTGGGGCATAATTTATAGTGGCTTCTGGTACATACATAAACTGAATTTCACGCCGAATCATAAACTAGCTACAACAGCTAATATCTCCGAGAAATAAAAAAAGATAATACAAAAAATGCTCAAAAGTTGGGATTTCTAAAGCTGTTAACTTAAACACGAACTGGTGATGAATAATCTTCTGGAGCTCTGTTAGAACAGCCCACGCACTATAGGCGTCGACCGCGCTTTGTTGAGCTAGTGGTTTATCTATCTAATATGGTCATCCAACTTCTCCATCTTATTTTTTTCTGTTCCTTATCAAGCTACTTGAGACGTAGTGTTCCCCCTCATGAACTAGGTGGAAGTACGAAAGGAAACGACCCGCTGTCTGGGCCAGGCAGATAAGAAAATATATCCCATGATATACCGAATGCAGTATTTTGACTATACACTTATTTGATATCAGACGGACACATTTTCAAGACGACATCGTGCTGTGCTTAATTTCGGACTATTAGCAGCTTTTACACGCCAGTAGTAATATATGAGGGATCACTTAAGTAATTTGCATTGAAACGCTAAATGTAAGCGATCATACAAAATTAATTTTCTTGCGGCGTCAGATAAGCTTTGTTGTTCATATAAAATGCAAATACATCATCTTTTATTACTCTTGAGGAAGTTTAATTTGAAAATACGGCTGTCAGGTGTCGAAACCGTCAACAGTAAAGCGATCTTTTGGGGTTATGCTTAAAGAACTATATATCTTAATTTACTGATCTTTTACTTCTGCTCTAAAAGTCAAAGTGACACTTCTTTCCGTAACATGGCGAAAGGGAGCCCACGCCGGGATGATATTATGCTGTTCGTAGTTTCTTCGTGTTTCCAGCTCCTTTTTGTCTCCTTGGCACCAGCTTGTCCCTTCCAGAAGCGTGATCTCAGTGTTTCACATATTTTAACCGACGCCACGTAAAAAAAGCATAATAATAGTAATGAAATTAAGGGCGCTTTCCAAAAGTCAGACCCCCTGGCAGGCCGGACCATGGCTGCACCGGTCATTTTGAAAGTAGGCTTTTCCCAGGAGTTTTTGATGAAAAACGATTTCCTTCGTGTATACTATTTAGGATTTGACTGATCTGGCTGGATAGCTTTGATTAAAAGTACAATTCTCGTTACGAAGGGAATGTCCTGGCCGGTCAGTTCTGACAAATGGAAAGCACCCCAAGTAAATTAAAAAAAAAAAAAACAGCCATAAAGATAAGTGGCGAACTGAACGAATTTCGCGAAGATGCTAGTTTTCTCTCCAATTTTTTACGTGAAAACTCTGACCCAATTCCAAGCAGATATAAGTAATCAATCGCACTTTTTCATTTTTCTCGCTGCGTTAAAAAATAAAAGATGAAGTAGCCTGGGATCAGGCTCCGCATTGGGGGAAAAAGGAAAAAAAAATCGGCGAGCGAAGAGAGCCGAGAGGGAAACTGGGGAGGGGAAAGGGTGCTGCCCTTTCCCCCTCCCCAGGCCACCGCTGGGTTTGCTTCGTTCGCCGATATTTTTCCTGTTTGACCCCGTTTTTTGCCTTTTCCCCCCACTGTGGAGCCTGTTGCCAAGCTAAACATGACGCGCCAAAATAGCTGACGACGCCACAAGCAGTGGAGCGCTAGAGGCCATGAAAGCGCAATTGCAAATCAAAAAATAGGGGCTTCGTGACGAAACCTAAAGTGGTGGTACAAAGTGCTTGAAGCGTTGGAAATATTTTTAAGTGCTTTATTGTCTTTTCGACTCCGTTCAGTTTCATTAAATTAGAAATGAGAAAAAAAATCTCAAAGCACTCAAATTCAAGGAAATTAGACTTAAATTACACATTAAAGAAATTGATCTAAATGGGAAATTGTTTCAGATATTGAACTGGGAAACCTAATTTAATCAATATACTCGTCTTGGCTCTGAAAGTAATTTCACGACAAAATGCATGTATTACGACATTCTCGTATTAACCAGGTAGTATTTAACCCCTTTTAATTGTCAGTTGAATATCAGCAATGCAACTTTTTATCAAGGATTAAATGCGCGCGCAAAACAATTAACACAAACATAGTCAACGCCTACTAAAAACACTGACTCGTCCCCAGTCGTCTCTCTTGAGAAAGGAGGGAAGCGCGCTCGCTCTTCCCTCCTTTCTCAAGAGAGACGACTGGGGACGAGTCAGGTTCAGCATGAAATAGAGGCAACGCTCCTGCGCGGCAAATATTGAGCAAAACATGGCGGAAGTCAGTGGAAAAGACGAGCTCCCAAGATGTTCTACGCTCTTTTTGACAGAAGATGGATCGCCCATGCTTTTTTACATGACCCCTTCTTTGATGAAAACCAGGCTACGACCGCTAATACACGTATGTCTGAATAGGTTTGGCTTAAAGCTTACATTTTGTTCTCAGTCAGTACAAAATGCAGACTGCTGCAGACCATAGACCTTGTCGCGGTTTTCGACGCCATCTTGACGAGTAGGCAAAAGTGTGAGAAATTACAGTGTTTGTATGAGAGTCTAATGTCCAATAATTTCCGTAAAACGGCTGTTCTGAAAAAAATATGACTTGTAAACTAAAGCTACCAAACAAAGGATTGTACTAACAAATGTTGGGGGCGTACCTGTGCTTGCTTTAAATTTTCCATTTAACAAATAGATTCCATGTTGCCGTGCGTCTGTTCAGTAATAGATCACAGATGACGTCAAAATGTCGTAAAAACAAAGAAGTGGCACACGAGCCGCAGGCAAGTGTGTCACTGTTGTTTTTACCACATTTTG